TGTGCACCATCGCCCGGCGGGTGGGGCTCTGCGGGAGGCGGCCAACATCCCCTTTCGGGGCCGCGTTTCATGCCAGAGGATTAAGCGAGTTGTTCATCGATTTTACACCAATCAGATCGCAAGCCAATCCCTGCACTGATTTCCCAGCGAATTTAATTCGAGCCCCAGCTCTCCCTTCTCATCAATCAGCGGAGCCGGAAAACCCGCCCGGCTCCCGGCGTGGCATCGGCACGTGCGCCTGTGGCCTCTGCACTGGAACCTCGGCCCAGCGGCCGGCCCAGTCCCTGCGGGCGTGGCCACACCCGGCTGCAGAACACGGTCCTCCTGGTGCTGATTCCAAACGCGGGGCCGGGCGAGCGGAGGGGCGGGCAAAGCAGATACTCAGCAGGCGGGAGAGAGGACGCTGCCAGCTGGGCTCCGAGTAGAACCACGTGCAGAGGACGAGGCCCAGTGGTTTCCGTCTCACGTGGGGTAGGAAACCAGAGGCAACAGATGAACAGACAGAGCTCTCGGCACAGACACAGCACGTGGTTCCCGAGGGGGGAAGGGCTTCGTGTGATGCCGTGAGCAGGGACCATAACTACGGCGTCTCCGACCTGCCCTGTAACCTGCTCTCGCTCACAGTCACCGAGGGCTTGGAGCCCACAGGAGAGAAGCCAAGGGACAGCAACGTGCCACCTGGTGACAAGGCCATACAGAGACCCTCCAGAACGTCCGGACGAGAAAAACACGCAAAGGCCATCCCAACTCCGAAAGCAAACGTTAGATATTATGATCCTGAGAGAGAGAGAGAGAGAGAGAGAGAGAGAGAAGGATGGCCCCTGGTAGGAGTCGGCGCCATAATCTGCCAGTTGCTGTTGAAGTCATGTTGCCTCTACTTATTTAGAATATAACGGACAAGGCATGCCGTAATGATTTGGGCTTTTCCCTAAAAGTACGCTAAGATCGCTCAAAATACCTTAAAACCAAAAGATCTTCCAGCCTTAATTTGTACAGGGATACGCAAGACTGTGGACACTCCAGTGCAAATACCTGATGTGTGCAAATTCAAACCGCCTTTCCAGAATATTCTCTACGCAGCCCTGACAATGTTTGGCTATTCCTATGGGGGTGACAGAAGAGGTGTTCACGTATAAATTAATACGGAATCAGGCAAACTCCTGTGACACCCATTTTCATGCGGGTCCCAGTCCAAGAAGGCTAGAGGAAGCGCTGTTTCCTGGGCAGCAAAGGTGCTTCTTCCTCTTCCTCATTATCCGAAATGAGGAGAGATTCAGACCAAATCACAGAATGTGAAATTCTCCCCGTTTCTCAGAAGTGCTCCTCGGAGCGTAGAGAACACGGAGGTGCCGTTCCCGTTCAGGGAGGGTGGCGAGGGGGGTGGGGGTAGCGAGTCGCTGCGGCAGCACCTGCCTGACATGTCGTCACGTCTCGAGGACTTCATCAGCCGCCTGCGTGTGAGCCAGCGCTTCCCATCGTGTTGTCGCAGGAAAACAGACGCAGCCCCTCCCGCCGCCGGCCCGCCTCTGCGTGACCTGGACGCGCGTGCAGTGCATTCGGTAACGAAGGAGACGCACATGGTTGTCCCACTCCGCGCTGGGGGGTCTCCTCGCCGTGCGCCACGTTCGCGCCACG